TTGGTTGGTTGGTTGGTTGGTTGGTTGGTTGGTTGGTTGGTTGGTTGTTGTTGTTGCTGTTGTTGCTGTGGTGGTGGTTACCAGAAACAGAAAGAGCAAATAATGCACGGCAACTTGGGCGACATATCTTGCATCTTGAGCCAGGAAGGGGAGTGGTCGGTTGATTGGCGGCGGGGTCCTGTGGACATGCAAGGACATGCCAGGGCCAGACCCTGCTGCACAAGCCCTTGCAGCAAACGCGATGGAAAGCGGAATGTTGAGACGGCTTGGGTCCAATCACCTGCTGTGACTGCAGCTGCTGTGACACGACCCTACAAGGTATTTGATTCTATTTTTCCCGTGAACCAAAGACAACAACTTCAATTGGCATGTTGACCACCAAATACGACAGTGACTTTTTGGATGTTTCTACCCCCGAGGCCGCAAGGTCTCGTTAGACTGCCCAACTTCAGACAGGCTTGCATGATCAGTGGGATGGTGTCGGCCTCTTTCGTGCCACGGACAACCGCAAGCCGCCAAAACACACGCAAGGGTTCAGAAATCTGTGGCCAGAAGAAATGCGACTGAAGTGGCCATGAATCGTCCAGCTCCGCCATGTTTTTTTCAAGCAAATTTGGGCCGGCATACATTCGGGTGAACACTATAGGCAAACAGGGGCCATCACCCCCACCCGTGGAGTTGAGGGGAGCAGTTTAGGGTGCGGACTTTCGCCTACTGGGTAGCGGCCTTTTGTGCAGCGCAACAAGTGAAGCTTCGTGATGGCCAAGGCTCGAGAATTAAGCAGTTGCAGCGTACCAGCGTGCCAGAAGGAGCATCCGAACATGCATCGCTTTTGAATTTTGTTGGACGTTTTGTTTGAGCAAAGCACGCTGCAGAAACTGGTGCAAGAAAACACTGGGAACTTGCTGCCCTTCTACAATCAGGCTTGGAAGCTGGGTGCGCGCACTGCTGTGGGGAACTGTGGCACTCTTGTGGTTGTAAAGGCGTGGAAGCGGTTGTGTTAAGCCTTGTTTTGCTTAAGGTGAAATCCATTTGTCATGATTTTTGTTTTTCCAGGTTCCTTAAGCAAGTTCAAGTAAGACAAACATCAAGGTTATCATGTGCCTGCCTTCTGGTAAATCGACCATGGCATGCATTGCCGTGCCACATTTGGTAGCCTGGGTTTTGTAGGGTCACGGCCAAGTCAGGCCATGGGGTTCCAACAACCGGTTTTTAAGGTAGGTTTTCGGTGGTTGACGCCCCTCCTGATGTACTTGGATTCCGGCAATCAACAACGTGTTTGAATGAGGCAAGTTTCAGACACGTCCTTTCACTCGGCCAGGGGTACCTACATCAATCGAGATTCAAGTGCAAGGTTTTGCCGACTGGACATTTTGATTGAGGAGTGTGCAGTTAAGTGTTATCAGAGAAATTTGGACAGTGTTGTACGATGAATATTCCATATTTCTGAAATATTCCCATGCAGGTATAATCAAATTCGTGACGATGTTGCAAGCAATGATCAACCTCAATAAGATTCAACATATCCAATAGTTGCTGAACACTGTTTGAAAGTAGGCAATTGGTGTTATGATGGTGCAGACATATTCTCGGTTTCAATCACTCCAACACGTGTGTGTTCTTTTAATTCATCAGGGGCACGCCCAATTCATGTGAAATCAACTACCCGGCACGGGTGGCGCGAAGACAGGGTGCTGCCACCTGAGGCTCTCAAAACGATGAACACCTCGTTGTCGACGACAAAGACTGTTTTGTCGGCCCCTCGTTGTTTGGTTGGCGAGTGGTTTTTTCCGGTTTTTGGTGTGTGTGTTGTGTGTTTGTTTGACTTGTTGACATGTTGTTTCTCTTGTTTGATTTGTGATTCACTATTTGATGTTTTTGGTTATTGCGTAATTGGGCACGCAGCAATGCTCAACTTGACCCGACTTTCTATCATGTTTGTCAACCAAACAACGAGCCAAAGAGATGATGAACGTGCCGCCCAAACGAACGATGATCTTCGCTGCGCTCAAGCAGGCGTCCACAATCATGTCACTAGACGACAACTAAACATATCTAAACCGCGGTGTTTATACATGAATGTTTTTTTGTCCATCACCTCCACCTTTTCCATCTATCGGATGGATTGGATGGTGGGATCCATTTCTATTATGGGGTGTGTCAGTTTTTGTGTGAGCTTGCAAAACCGTTTTTGTTTTGGTTCGCACGGCCCCCCCGTGAGTTTGAGGCCATTCCATGGCACGACAGAGTGGGAAATGACTCGTTTCAACTGGTCCTGAGAAAGAAAAAACTACTACTACGACCGACCTATTTGGTAGATGATGCAGCCTGATCGCAAAAAGTACAACGCAAGATCCGTTGGAACGTGATTCGGACCAAGTGCTGACCAACCTCCCATCATGGAGGGTTCATGTTGCACTCCCATGCCTTAGGACCACTATGAAAGGTCTAAATCACACATGATTAAAACATGATTAAAGCATATTAAAGCAATAACGTTTTTTTTCGGGTTTGGATGCATTTCTGAAAACTTTGCTTTCTCTTCTTGGACTGACTGCGTCTCTTGATGGTTTGGGCCCAAAGCGATCACCGCTCGACCCCCAGAACCGCGACCAACGAACACCGAGGCCATGGGGCAGAAGGATCTGGTGGCCTCTTGGCCGCGACACCAGTGGAGACCGGCGATCGGGTGGAGCAGCCTGGGCCTGGGCCTGGAAAGCCGGGAAGCTATGATGGAAGTGCCAGCCTGTTGGTGGCCTTGTGATGTTCCCACATAGGAGGACTTTCCAAGGTGTTGCACATGATGGAGAAAAGGTCACTGCTCTTTGCTCTAAAAGGTCACTGAGGCGGTTTTTTGCGGACCTTTTTAAGTCGAAAGATCACTTTGCACAAAGGACCATCAAGACACAGAATGTGTCACGCCACTGAGTACCCAATGGTCACTGTTCTCCCCGCACTGCACGGGGCAGATGGGTGTAGATGGTCGTAGATGTCCATGCTGAATAAGTATGGACCTTGAGTCATAAGGCTGTCATATTATGGTGTATCTCACCATGAGACCTGGCCTGCTTTTGTCACGGTGTTTTCTCATACTGAACCTCTCGTGCTTCTGGGCCTCTTCTTGTACGGAGATGTCCCAAGAAGAACACCGAGTATGCTGTGGTCGTCACAACCCGACGTCCGATGTCAGATCGATTCCACCTTGGCACCACTGCTAGGTGAGTTTCAATGGTTTAAAGGCAATCGTATGTCCACTAGTATCCACTCATTACTCAGAGAAGTCACAGGCTGCCAGACGTTTCTTCAGCCAGGGCCAGAATTTGTTTTTTTTAGGGTGTTCAAAACTCTCAACTACCTGACGTTTTCGCTCCTCTGCTGAAATCTGACTCCCCCCAAAAAACGGGCCAGTTCCTTGGTTTTCCCCCGTTCCCACCTGACTCGGCGCGGCTTGGCGCCAGTTCCTTCCGCTCAGGAGAAATTGGAGTCTTTGGAGTCGACGGTCGCTGGGTCGATCACCGGGACCGAGGTCCATCCCGAAAAAGGGGTTGAACCACCCCGGTGGGGCGGGGCATTACTAACAAGAAGCTGCTAAGTAGTAAGAAAGAGCATCCAGCATCGCTACTAGTAACAAGGGCAGTGCTAGTAGCAAGAAGCTACTAGTTTCTCCTGGCATTACTATCAAGGAGGATGGGGGGCTCCCATGTTTCACCTCCCCCACTTGGGGGGGGGCGATGTTTCACCAGGACCGCAGCCACTTGGTGTTTGGACTCGCTAGTGATTCGATGCAAAAGGGGGCAGTAGACCAGTGGATCTTCCACCGGAAGTGGCGGAAGGTTGGGGAGGTTTTCTGGTTCCACCAGAGTACTTGGAGTGATTTTCTGCTAGTGAGTGGAATTTTACTTGCGTTTTCCTTTAACATATTCTGATTTGGGCGATCAGATCACCCTCCATGACATCTCCACCCACCCATCCGAATCGATCTGATCGTCAACGTGCGAAGTGGATGACGTGAGGCTTCAAAGCAGCTGAACGAGTTGGTGGAGACCACCAAAGATATGGGGACAGACATGGCAGGCGGCAGCGCCGCCAACCTGGCGGCGGTTTTGGCTGGGAGATGTCTTGGCAATAGTGCTATGCTGCTATGCTTTATATAGGACTTTCTCCTGTTTTAGTAGAGAACAGCAAGATTGGCACAAAATTGTTGGCAGGAGAGTATCACTTCAATTTCCATCAACTTACTCGTGTGGCAAGCCCAGTTTGAGAGTCCTTTTTCTTTTTGTTTGACTGGCCCTAAGTCCTGAAAGGGATGTTGGGGCCACAGGCAAGTGAACACACTCTCCTGTTAGTCTCAAAAACACAACTCCACAAAGTGCATGTTTGATTTGAGGGAGGCTTGAGTTTGAACTCAGGAAAAGTGGAGGAGTGAAGATAGTATTCCTGAATCAACCTGTGGACCGAACAAGAGAAGCACCAAAAGCCTATCAAACATCATAAGTTGCTTCCAGGGCGTATACGTAAAGACCATGGAGGTGCAGAATTGTCGTCCGTCACGGACACTGGAAACTGTGCAACATCATGTTGAGGAATCTGTTGAGGAAAATTATTGCACATTCGTTTTTATGATCCGGCCGATCCCTCGATCCAGATCCATGATCCCTCAACATGATCTAGCCAAATCCCTGAAATCCCTATCTGTGAAAAAGAAAAAACTGATACAGTATACCTTCCCCTCACATAATTATGGATGGTGAAAATGACCCGGGAAGGATGCATCTGGTCCATGCCATGCGCGATTTCGCTGGGGTTTACTCTCTCGGATTCGTCGCGTCCGCCGAAGCGGTCTCCGAAACGCCCGGGCCCGCTTGAAGGCGATCTCTCGGATGTGGATCGAACGGATCGCAGAGTCGTTCGCGCTTCAGGCGCCAGCGTGGAGAAGTTCGTGGACTACCGTGTGACCATGCTGGCCAAGTTAGGCTCTGCCGACCAGTGCGTCGAGCCCTGGCGAGGTTTCCGCGACTCCGGCAACCGTTCCATGCATCGAAGGCTTGCAGGTTCTACACCCTAAAACCAAGGGTGAAGGTCTAACAACCTAGACTATCTGGTTGTTGGGGGGGGGCAGAGTTCTTTTGGATCCAACCAAAGGTTCTACCACCTATCTCCAGATGTTCTCTTTTTTTTTGGTGGGGGGCAGGGCGAACTACTTGGCCGTGGGCTGCTGAGCCTGCTTGGCAGGTTGCTGTGTGACGGGACGTGCGTCGCAAGATAGAGTGGCGATCAGGCAGTCTCACAACCACATGTTTGTTCATTTGTTCATCACATGTTCATAAAGGAGCACTGTGACGAATGTCAAGGTGAAGAAGAGATCTAGGGAGAAGGTGAAAGAAATGCAATTGATGACATCTGGGGGCAGCATCATTCTGCACGATGCAATCACGTCAAGCTGAAACTACTGTCACCAAATAAAAATATTGGCATATCACGTTAAGCCTGCTTAAACATGTCCTAATTAGTTGTTCTTGCTTGCACTGAGTGAAACAAGAGGACCCTCAATAAATCTACGAAAACCACGCAAAAAAACGGTCAAAAACTACCAGGTGCATGCACCCTTTCAGCAGCTCTGGCGCTTTCGGCGCCTCACAAGGACCTTTTGCGGAAAAGCTTCAATCAGCAGATGGCGGCCTTCGCAGGCGGCTTGGGAAACCGGGCCGGTCTTGGAGAAACATAGGTCGTGGAGAAGGCAAATCTCTTGGACGGACGCGAAAGGATGGTTTGGTTGAGAAAGATGCATAGTGAACCGGTCAGTGGGTTGTTTGAAGATTTAGAATTTGAGCTTGTAATCTTGCTGTTTGTAATCTTGGATTCTGTTGACTTTGTTGATTCATGTGCTTGGTCTGGCAGCGGCCGGTCTGTGTGTTGCAACCTTCGCAGCGGTTGGAAGGTCGCACGGACGGTTGGAAGGACGGATCCCAAATCGCCGATGAACCGGGACGACTGAGTCCCGATGACAATGAGTTGTGGTTTGCAGCTGGGGAGAAAACATTGATAAAACCAACTCATTTGGAGTATAGAACCGGATGTTATACTGTATACTGGTATGTTCTATAACATGTTATTCATCAACACGACCTGCCTGGCAGGTTGAATATGATCAAATCAGACCTAGATTCTCCGTTTGATATGCCGGCTCTTTGTTAGGGTGTCACTTGTGTAGTTAACTACGTACGTTTCGTCCAAACACACATTTGCTGTGGAACCGCGCGGCTATGCATTTGCTCTGTCACTTTCTTGGCAGCTATAGTACAGTGGCCTTCTGTAACAGCAACTGTCCCATCATGAAACCACCCTCGCCGGCAAAGTTGCTGGTATACTTACCACAAGTCTTAGAAGACTACATGCGGTCATGAAAGGAAGAGCCGTCAACCCGCAAGCCTTCCCTGCTGTGTTTTCCTTCAAACTCGACATATCGCCAGCCAGCTCAATGGGTCCGAACCGGTTCTCGATCCAAGGGTCCTTGCTGGAGCCCTTGAAGATTGCCCTGGGAGATAAGGCAGGACGCCCCCCACCGTCGATCTCCAGAGCATGCGAAGAGCTCGAGCTGGTCATTGGTCCTCGTTTGGCCAGGTGACGATGGAGTTCAGTGAGGGTCAGTCAAAGGTCTAACCTCTGACTCACTAATAAGTCTTAAAGTGGATGGCATGGTCCCTTGGAAGACCACTTTCCTGTACGAACGGGGGGTTTTCCACAGTCAAAGGTCAGAAACTAACTGCGTTTCTATTCAGTCCAACGGCACCAAGAACCAACAGCACGTAGCAGGAACCAACGTAGCAGGAATGTATACTTGGAACATCTCGTGAGGGAAAAGGAGGCTGCTTGGGTGCTGGCGTTCTTCTATTCTTTTAAAGCTATGGCATCGGGAGATTAGAAGTGCTCTGTGAGACTCCATAGCCACGTGGGCTGGGTGCTGCCTGCAGTAGGCTGTGGACGAGATCAATGACCTCTCCACTAAGACCGACGAGGTCCTTCAGAACCTCCAGCCCCTGGGTTTTGTGAGCTTTTGTGAGGGTCCATCCTCCCAGGCTGCATCCTCGCGTTTGGCTGCATCGTCGCGTGGTGCTTTCATGGATTTCACACACCATCCGATCACATCCGCTCCGCGCCGTCATCGGAACGACCAAGCACACCGCGATGGACCCGGTTTACCCCGCCCAGCATGGTACGTAGTGCAGAGGAAAGTGCTGTGGGATAGAGACACGGGCCTCCCGGTACCGCAAAAAGTTTAGGAACCATATTATCATATATTATATATCATGCAATTTTGCAGTATCTTGAAGTCACGTGAATCCGAACTTTTATACTCTAGTTCAATGCCCCAAACCTGAAGCAGTTCCGGACGTTTTGTTTTTCCCTTTTGTTATCCCTCTTTGACATGTACATCTCAGGGTTCCCCAAGGACCTTGGTGACGACCACCAGCAGTGCGCTCACACGCATTGGTCTCTCGGAGCGAACGCGACCCGACTTGGTCTCCCACGTCTTTGCCATGGTGGGGCGGAAGGGTTGTGCTAGTCTTTGGTTGGTGTGTCCTTTTGTTTTTTTCGGAGAAATCAAGAATTAACTTAAGAACTTGGTATACCAAGAATTAATATGAATTAACCAAAGGATGAACACATCCGATCGAGACATGTCTCGAAGGGACAAAAGAGAAGTGAGTTTGGGCATCTCAATGACAACCAAAGGAAGGGACAATCCTTGCCAGTTACACGTTCCAGCCCCCGCCAATGTGTTGACAAGGCTGCTTGGATGTGGGATGTGTGTGTGTGCGCTTTTTCTTGTCGGGCGCTGGAATCTATATCCTCCAAGCTACGAAGAGACTCGAGAGGGAAAACGGAAAATACACCCGGCCTAGATCTTGAAAACACGCACGTGCAACATTTCGATCCCTCAGTGAAACCAACCGTAGAACTCGACAGATTGAATTTGTTGCATACTTCAGATCGATAGGCCTTTTTCAGATCCGGCCCGCTACTATAGTAGCAAGGACGTTATTAGGTGGAGGCCATTGCTACTATAGTAACAAGAAGCTGCTATTCGGACTATTTGCCTTAATTATTTAGTTTGGTTTCCCGTTTTGTCGCCACCACTCTCTCGAGTGCCACCATCGTGTCGCACGAGTTCGTGTCGACTCGGTGGCTGGGGCGCGGCTATGGCGTTGCGGTGCGCAGGGCTTTTCGAGCGCGCCCCCGGTGCTGAGGAGATGGAGTGGATTCCAAGAGACTTAGCGAAACGAAGTTGGGAGGGTCAATGGACTGAGAAGTCAAAAGTGTAGTGTTTTCCGTGCATTTTGGGGTCAGTTCTGGGTCATGTCGGTTCATGTTGCCTGTGGCGTTACCTCCCAAACCCGTCGGCTCGCTATCCGCGGATGTGGACGGTCCGAGCGAGTTCGCCATGGGTCCGACATCGGTCCGGCCAGGGCTGCCGGGGCTGGCAGAAGCTTTCTTCCCCGAACACGCCATGGATGGAACCCTAAACCCTAAACCCTAAATGAGTATAGTATGAACATGTATGAACCGAAATGGATTCCCCTCCCGTTCCCCTTTGCTCGTTCTCGCATACATGGAGTGGTCGGTCGAAGCCATCGGCCTTTGAGAAGACAGAAGCCCACCGAGTCCCATTCCAAAGGTGTGTGGTTTTGGAACCCATCATACCAGGACCATCCTCCTGGCTGGGCTATCTGGGACCTCCAGGTTATCCCAGGTTCAGGATGGTTCAGGTACTCTTCCAGACTTGAGCCGACTTGCCAGCTGGATTTTGAGATCCCGATCTCATCAAATCCAGCAATTTCACCACCCGACCCCTGCTACAAGTGTCCATGGTGCATTTACAAGTGTCATCAAGTGTCTATTGTCACTATATGCCCATTCCAGGTCCGTTGTAAGGATTGTATAGTCCCATTGCAGGCCAATTTTTAAGGATCGATTGTTCCATTTTGTCCGCCAGGATCAAAGCAGCCAGAGACCAGGAGGGCTTTTGGGGCCACCTTTTCCACGGCCTTCTCCGCTGAGATCACAGGGGGTTTCAGCCCTGTTTTGCTCACCAAATGGTGAACATTTCAGCCCTGTCCACCTCGGCCGCACTGCAAGAAAGCTCCATTTGTGCGCTGTTCCGAAGGGTGCAAGTGCTGCAGGTGGTCACTCAACCAATGTCAATTTCGAGACAAGACACCCTGCAATGTTCATAACATTCTATACATGTTTGTTTTTTATGACTCATAACGCACGTTTCCGTCATTCTATTTGTGGTCGTCTTTCCATGTGACAAGTTGAGCAGTTCCCTTGTCTCGGTGGTGTACATGGAAAAGGAGATCTCCTTCAAAAAGGAACTCCAAACGCCCCAACGCTCCATGGGGATCACCCTGACAGGTCTATGTTGCTTTGGACGTTCATTGCTTTGGATGTTTTCATTGCTTTGGGCACCATCGCAGTGGTTTGGATCCAGAAAACCAGAAGCAGGGAGGTGGAAGTTCTCTCAACACGGGCGCCCGTGGAAGTACCCATTTGGTAGGAGAACCTTTGTAATTTTAGAGTGGGTTGAGAGTAGGTGACACAATCCTCAAGTTGGATGCTTTATATGGACCGACCATTAAATGACCATTATGGACCCCCATGCTAAAAGACACAGTGTTTGTGCAATCGAGCAGCTGAGAGCAGCCTGAGCAGCCTTCGGAGGTCCAGCGGTTGGACCCAGCGCAAGCCTTACAGCCCTTGAAGTTCATGCGTAGCGGAGCACAGGCTGGGTGCGTCGACGGCGCGGCTCGTACCTTTTGAAGGAAGTGAAATAGGGGAGCCCTCTAAACAAAAGGAAAGGAGACCATTTCCTGAAGTAAATGGAGTAGGGAACAGGAGACCATTAGGGAAAAGGAGACCATTACCATTAGGAGACCATTTGAATAATTTGTTGTTCCATTTTCCGCCTCTCTTTCTTTGCTCCCCCCCTCTCGCAGGTCATCACGGCCGAGGACCTCTCCGAAGAGGTGGCCGCGGGCCGCGCGGGCCGCGGGCGCGGGCTGAGACGAGACAGAACGAGACAGAACGTGTAAGCGGTCAGTAGACATACTGACGAGTTCATAGGAGAAATGCCTCGGAAGGAAAGGGTTACGGTGCCGTCTATAAGCTGAGACAGCCTGAAGAAGAAGGAGAAGAAGAAGAAGAGCGAATAAGGAGATGAAGGCGATCAAAAAAGAAGAACGTTGGTACCTAAAAGTTGTTGTAAACACGCGGAGGAGGAAGAAGAAGAAGAAGAAGAGGAAGAAGGGCCCATAAGAAGGGGAAGGCTTTAGACAAGAAGAACATGATTAATATTGATCAATACGAAAAAAGGTTCACTTTAAAGAAGACCACATGTTAATTGTTTTATTCAACATGCCGAAGACAAATACATGCTAAAAAGAAGGCGGCTGTTGAACAGAAACACAATGAAACACATATTAATGAAAAAAAGGAAGGCTTAAGAAGAATACATGTTTCAATCACTGAAGAGAAGAGGAGAAAAGAGAAGAAACGAGAGGAGATGCGACGAGACGAGAATAGAAGAGACGAGAAGAGGGAAAACTTCAGAAGAAACATATATTGCACACACATTGAACAACAATACAGCACAACAGACCAGTCACTCAAGGAGTGTCCTTGAGTGGATGGTCCCGCTGCGTGGACTGACTCAGGACTCAGGCGACTTCGGCTGTTGGGACATGTTTGAACAGGTTCTGAACAGAGACCTTATGCCAGGAATAGTGCTTTCTAGCAATCAAGATGTTCACCCTGTGCATGTTGACCGCTCCATGATGCTCCCAGTGCTGCAGTTGTCTCGGGTGCTGCAGTTGTGCCTTCTTGTTTGCACTCCACGTGGAAGCCATGCGCCTTTGTGCCGTCTCGGGCACCACCATTGCAGAGCTTGATGACGATGAACTGCAGGAGATGGTGGAGAAGGGCAACACTGTCCTAGCCTTGAAGAGGCGCCTCGCCGCTCAGCTGGGATACTCGAGGTTTCGGCAAAGACTTTTGACTGAGAAAGGTGAGTTGCAGGATGACGAGGCTTTGCTGGCATGGCCTGAGTTGCAGTTGGTCATTTTGAACTATTATCCATGTCACTTGGACAAGTTGAGCCTCCAACATGCATGTTCCACTGGTCAGCAGGGTGAAGTTGAGATGCTTAAAAAGCCATACGACCCCAACGGCCGCAATACAGACGGCCGTGATACACCTTTGCACACAGCGTGCTACAGTGGCCACTTGGAAGTAGTGCAGTTGTTGGTTGAGGCTGGAGCCAACAAGGATGCAACATGTGCAGACACCAATGCAACACCTTTGCACTTGGCATGTTGTCAGGGCTTCATGGACGTGATATGTTTCTTGATGGAGGCTGGAGCCAACAAGGAGGCAACATGTTCAGATGGCACAACTCCTTTCCATTGGGCAATTTGCTGTGGCCACTTGGAAGTAGTGCAATTGTTGGTTGAGGCTGGAGCCAATAAGGATGCAACATGTGCATACACCAATGCAACACCTTTGCACTTGGCATGTTGTCAGGGCTTCATTGAAGTGATATGTTTCTTGATGGAGGTTGGAGCCAACAAGGAGGCAACGTGTTCAGATGGCACAACCCCTTTGCATTTTGCGACGTGTAGTGGCAACTTGCAACTAGTGAAAGTGCTTCTTGAGGCGGGAGCTAACAAGGATGCAACAGCGGTGAACGGTTGTCCTTTGCATTTTGCGTGTGGCAATGGCCATTTGGAAGTCGTGCAGCATTTGCTTGAGGCTGGAGCCGACAAGGATGCAACAAATGCAGATGG